TTAACAATTATGCCACAAGGGCTACTTAACTTTATGTCTTAAAGTTGATAATGTTGAAATTTCAGAATGTTTTTCTTTGAATGTACCTGTTCTGGTTATCTAGTACCTCTCTGACAAGAATATACCACAAATGGGATGGCCTTAACAAACAGGAGTTTACTCTCTTACAGTTTGGAGGCTTTAAGAGCAAATTCAAAGTGCCAGGCTCTAGAGGCTGGGTAAAAGCCACTCAAGCTTGGGTTTCAGCTCTGCCTCCTGCTCCCAGCCCACTGGAGCTAGAGGCTTTTCTTCACTCAGACAGCTGCTGGCTGCTGAGGCTGAGAAGCCCAAGGTTGACAAGTAAAAAGGCACAGTCCCAACGTTACCAAACCACACAGCAGGCCATTAATTTAAGTTCATTGTAAGTCCCAAGGTCAGTACAGCATGACAGGCTGCTGAACGAGGACAAGGCTACATGCAGGGTCCAAGCGTGCCATAAACTAGAAACCATTCCCAAGGCTTCTGCTTATATACAGGAAGCAGACCACATCCCAAGGCAGCGACTCTGCTGCTTGTGGTAGATCCCACCATGGAGCTGATTGCCAGTCTCATCATTGGGAATAACTACCACCAGCTGCCCAGCCACTCAACCAGTCCCAGCCAAGTTGACACACAAACATAACCACCACAGTGCCTTTCAAAACGCCACGTCTTCTTCCTGCTTCTAAACAGGAAAACAAACTCACTACCATTGAATTGATTGGAATTGACCTACATTGTTATCCATATGTCTCTCTCTATACTCTGAGTAGAGTATGTTTTTTTCCTGTATGGTGAGGAGCAGAGGCATATCTAAGGTATGACAGGTATGGCAAGTGCCTTAGGTGCTACTGGAATGGAGGCACCACTGCAGTTTCTCTTAACTCATTACAGCCCAGTGTCCTTCGTCAAGCATGGTAGACATCCAGAGGCATAGAGGGGAAGGGAGGCACAGGGGAGCATTTGCCCCGAACACAAATCCAGAGTCCACCAGACCCCTCACAGAGTGACTTGATGCAGCATGGAATGGACTTGAGGCAATGACTTGAGGAGGCATGGAATGACATTTTGAGGCACACAAATATTCTGAGGTGCCTGACTGAGGCCACCAGACATGAAAAGCGCAGGGTTTCTGCTGACGTCTTACCTTTAGCAGTGTTTATTCCTCTTGAATTGGGAAACTGGGGGGAGGGCACAATTTAGAAATTGCTCTGTGCGTTATCCTCAAAACACCCCTATGAGAAAAGACCAAAACCAAAAAACCAAACTCATTGCCATCAAGTCAATTAGACTAATAGCGACCCCTCCTTGGGTTTTCAAGGTGGTATCTCTACAGGAGTAGATTGCCCAATCATCCTTCTGAGGAGTGGCTGATGGGTTTGAACCTTCTGGTTAGCAGTCAAATGCCTTAGGCACTACATGAGAAAAGAAGGGCCGTTATATTTTCTGAATTTTTGGTGTGAAGAGAGGAATTCCTTATTTAAATTTAACCTGAAAAATACACTCCCATTTTGGAGAAAGCTGTATTTATATAGCATTATCACACACTATCCCAGTCCTAGCCATCAGGTTACAGTAGCTCAAGGTACTGTTGATCAAAATGCTGTATCCACTGTAGTAGACTCTCCTACTCTACCCTTTACCTTGACAGGGTTGGATCATATACTGTTGTCAGAATTCCTTTTCTTGTGTGTACCTTTAGGCTCTCCTAGACTACAATCTCTGACAATTTCATGGTTGAATACCAGTGGAGCTGGTTGTGCCATTTATTAGCTGTTAGACTCTGGGAAAGTTACTCAATGTCTTCTAAGTTTTGTCTGTGAAATTGTAATAATAACACATAACTAATTACATTGTTGTGAAAATAAATGACTATAGAATTTGATATCTGGACTGTAGTGGGTTTTCTGTAAGTCATAACTATGGACATTGTTATTGTTTGGTTGTAACTTAAAAAAGTTAAATAAGTCTAAGGAAAATAAAAAATTGTACATAAATAAAAGTCTTACTGAGCTGGGCAACCTTCTTGCTGGGATCTGGTTACCAGGTTACTGGCTTAAGCCTCTCACTCTGAGTTTCTTGTTCTCTAATCTCCTTTAGTTGTCAATAACCACTTCCATTTGCAGTGGGTTCTTGAAGCAGCTCAAGGTAGAATTGCCAGAAAATGTGATCTTCTCGATGTGTGTCTCCCTTTGACCATCTCCTAGAACTCTTTGGGGAGCTCTGGTGGGGTAGTGCCTAATGCATTTGACTGCTAACCAGAAGCCTGATGGTTCAAACTCACCAGCCACTCCTCAGAAGGAAGGTTGGGCAATCTACTTCCATAGTGATACCACCTCAGAAATCCAAGGAGGGGTCACTATGAGTTGGATTCAACTCCACGGCAGTGAATTTGGTTTGGTTTTGGTTTAGGACCCTGAGAGACTAGACAGTTTGGTATCATCGTCCCAATCACCTGTAGAGGAGTAGTTCTCAATATGGAGTCAAAAGACCACCTGCATCAAAACCATCTGTAGTGCTTGAGAGAGCAGCATACTGTCCTCCCTTATCCTATACAGCCCCATATATACTAAATGAGAATATCTGGTGGTGAGGCCCAGAAGTATGTGTTCTCCCAGATTAGAGTCACCAGGTAAAATACAGGTGCTGTTATGTTTAAATTTCTGATATGACAAATCATTTTTTTTTTAAGTGAATGTAAGTGCAATGTAATATTTGAGACACACTGGAAAAAAAAGGAGTACTTGGGGTTTATCTGAAATTTAAACTTAACTGAGCATTTCTATTTTTATTTACTTAATCTGGAAACCTACCCTTGGTATGCATTAAAATTTAAGAAACTATTCTAGTGTGATGCTCCCAGCATAGTCTCTACTGAGCCCAGTGCAGAGACAACTATGGCACTGAAGTATTTATTTTTAAAGGAAGGTATTCTGTGCCTTATAGGATTGCACAGTGTCACAATCCTATCTGTTCCTTATTTTCTTTTCTGTGTCCTAATGAAAATATCTTTTGGCTCAGGATGAGCTCTCACAGTGCCATCGTGTGTGCTCCTTGGACACGGAGAACACTCCAGACAAAGTTTGTCTTATAGCAGTCTGTCTTTATCAGATCCTCTAGATGATTAGGGATGATTTTGTGGGGACCTTGGCGGCTCCCATTGTCCCTATAATACAATGTTTTGGCCAGAGGCAGACTGAACAGCCTGTTCCTTAACTTCTCTTCCCCAGGTAGACACAGGCATCTTGGCCTTGGGCCAGCATTCTCAGGCTGAGAGGACACAGAAGCACACAGATTCACAGAAAGTAGCTTGGCAGATCAGTCTATTAATTCCTGCCTCTAAAAGTGCTACCCCAATACAGCAGCCTGAAGAGACACCCAGTGTCCATCAGACTTCTTTCTACCAGAGTATGGAGAGAAGACTACCCCCTTTCATTTCATAGAGTATACATTGACTGAGAAGACTTGGGTGCAAATCAGGAAGGCATAAATAGAAACTTCCATACAACTACCAGCATGTCATTTACATTACTTCCTGGAGTATGAGGTTGCAAACTCAAAATGCCTCCAGGGGCTAGGCTGGTATAAATGAGTGAAGTGGGGAGGGTGCAGACTCTGGCAAAGTAATACACAATCCAAGAAATTTGGCCCTTCTTGGCTTCATCTGATCATGGTTACCTCACAGAAGTTTGAGCTCAGTATTTTTAAAAAGCTCGAGGTCTTGATTTTTATATAATGTCTCTCTATTTTAAAGTGTTGGAGACAAATTCAAATTTTTTGTAAATGCTGAGTAGGATAAGCAAAATACTTTTGTGTACCCTATTAGGGAAGTCATTTTTTTACTTTGTTCTAGAGTATATTCTATAGTGATGAATATATTACTGCTTCATTGAATGAATAAGATAATTACATTGTGTTCAGGTTTATCAGAAATAGAGCTCTAACTTTTATGATCTAGTGATGAATTTAGGTTTTATGTGAACATATAAAATATATAAAATTATTTGGATAGGACCGGAAAAAACCAAACTCACCGTCATGGAATCTATTCCAATACATAGCAACTCTATAGGGCAGAGTAGAACTACTCTGTAGGGTGTCCAAGCCTGTAAATCTTTACAAAAATAAGACTACCTCATCTTTCTCCTGTGGAACAGCTGGTAGGTTAGAACCACCAACCTTTTTGGTTAACAGCCAAATGCTTTAACTATTGTACCACCAAAACTCTTTAATTTGGATAGTAAGTCCTATAAAACATGGTTAAATTATCTAATCAAGAAAATAGCTTATTAAGGATTCTTGGGTTGTGTTTGAAATCAGCCACTGTGCCCCAGGGCTAAGGGATGGCCGCTCCAAAATGATCCGAGAGAACGCTTTATGTAGCCCTACCTTCAGGGACACATCTTTTGCCTGGTAGCGTAGTGCCTAAGGCACTTGACTGCTAACCAGAAGGCTGGTGGTTCAAACCCACCAATCACTCCTCAGAAGGAAGGTTGGGCAGTCTACTTCCGTAGTGATACTGCCTCGGAAACCCAAGGAGGGGTCGCTGTGAATCGGGGCCGACTTGATGGCACACAGCAACACAACAACAACAACCTTCAGGGACACATCTTTTGCCTTGGAGAGCTGCTGTACATTCTTGTGATATACTAAAGAGGAGGGGCTTAGACTAGATGTCACAAGTAACCTTCTCATCTTGCAAGCTTACAAGGAGGCTTTAGCCACAAAACGTCAGGTATTGTGATGGGCAAATTACAAGATGGTTGAGCGGCCTAGAGGATTAGAGGAAGGAGAATGGGAATCCTTTTTTTAAAATTCCCTGTTGGTATAACAAAATAATAAATGAGTCCATAAAAATATTAACATATCTTGGCAGGAAGTGACTGAAAAAGCAGAATGTGCCCAAATAAAAGTCTTTTTATTCCCTCCAGCAAACTTATCATACATAGAATAACTAATCTTTTAACTTCTAATTTCCATAGGGGAACAGAGTATATGCTGCTGGTATTGGCTACTTTTTTCATCTTGTGACCAGCAAAACATCGCAAGCTCCACTTCTCTCCTTTACCCAGAACATGGCACATTCTTGTACAAGGTAACTTGGGGGAAATTCATTTGTATTTTGGATCTAGAGCTTATGATTTAGATGAGACACTCACACAGGGGGTACAATGTGTGTCATTTGTGTGAGATTTGACAGTGTCCTCTCTTGTTTGAGAATTTTGGTGATGAAGAGAAGGGAAAGGAGAGAGCAGTCACTTGAGATCGCAGTAGGGCTCAGTGCACCTTTGTGGGCAGAGGAGAATTCAATAGAGTAGTTAAATCTCCAAGAGATTGGGAACAATTGAAAGACATAGAGCCCCTGGGAGGCTGGAGCACATGGACTCAGGAGCCAAAGTGGAGAAAAGGCTCTTTGCTTGGACTCTGTATGTTACATAATATAATTATAATTATTACAAATGTTACAGAGTATAATGATATAGTAGTGTAAATATGTAATTATACATCTTATACACACTCACTGCTGTGGAGTCAGATCCAACTCATGGCGACCCCTTCCTGGGTTTCTGAGGCGGCATCACTTCAGAAGTAAATAAGTAGCTTGCCCAGTCTTCCTTCCAAGGAATGGCTGGTGGGTTTGAACTGCCACTCTTCTGGTTAGCAGTCAAATATATGCCTTGGGCACTATGCCACCAGAGTTCCCTTATAGACTATAAGATGAGGAGATAAAGAGAGGTGAAGATTTAGATAATTAGGAGGTAGGTAGAGGTACTTTTAATCAAGTTGGCCTTTTTGATATGTAGAGGGTAGGGTCAGCTAAGAGTAAGGCAATGGTGAAACAAAGTAGGGTATGGGATTTAAGGAGCATGGGGAAAATAAAGGTTTTAGTCAAGCCCTGATTGAGATCTGGATTCTAGTCCTAAGAAATGTCCTTTTTTTTTTTTTTTTTCTTTAAGGATTAGATTACATACTTGTAAAATGAGGATCAAACAATATTGAAGGTTTGGTCTGAGGATTAAAGATGATTTATGTAATGTACCTAGAAGAGGTCCTGGAACTTAGTAAACAAACAAAGAAGAAAACATTAACCCATTGCCTTTGATTTGATTCCGACTCACAGTAACCCTGTAGGACAGAGTAGAACTGCCTGTAGGGTTTCCAAGGCTGTATATCTTTATGGAAGTATATTGCCACATCTTTCTTGTGTGTAGTAGCTGGTGGGTTCAAACCATTGACCTTTCAGTTAACAGCCAAGCACTTAATCACTGTGCCACCAGGGCTCCTTCTGGAACCTGTTGTTGTTATGTACCATCGAGTCCGACCCGACTTATAGCAACCTCTCCTTGGGTTTCCAAGGCAGTATCACTATGGAAATAGATTGCCCAACCTTCCTTCCAAGGAGTGGCTGGTGTGTTTGAACCGCCAGCCTTCTGGTTAGCAGTCAAATGCCTTAGGCACTATGCTACCAGAGCTCCTAAAAACCAAACTCACTGCTGTCGAGTGGGATCCAACTCATAGCGACCGCTCCTTGGATTTCTGAGGCGGTATCACTACAGAAGTAGATTGCCCAGCCTTCCTGGCTCGGAGTGGCTGGTGGGTTTGAATCTCAAGCCTTCTGGTTAGCAGTCAAATACCTTAAACACTAAGCTACCAGAGCTCCTCTTCTGGAACCTAGTAGGAATTTAATAATTATCAAATAGTTATGATAATAGTAGTATATAATATTACTATGATGGAAAATGATTAATAGTGGAATAGGGAGTATAAAAGGTTGCTAAGTAATGTTGAAATGCCAGGTGAGGCACTAGTATTTTTGTAATGAAATCATTGGTATGATCATGAAGCTTTTATCCAGGAGCTTTCAGCAGCCCTGGAATGTAAAGGAAGAAGGTCGCCAGAGAACAGCAATGGGAGGGTGGTTCAGGTAAAAGAACAGATAGTAAAGGGATTACAGGGGTTGATGTTCAGTCTCCTAGGAAGGAGGTAAATCTGGAGGAGGTGGGGTGTGATCGAGTAGCAGTGGATCATGTCTTAATCTGCTCACAGAAGTGTCCACTCTCCTAAGGAGGAAGGGGTGAACCTAGAGAGGAATTATGACAATCTACATCTGTTGTGACTCAGGAGCAGGTCACAGAGGGTAAAAGAGTGGAAGGCTGAGAAATGGGCAATGACAGTCAAGAGATGGTCACAGATCTCAATTCTACCTTCCCCCATTCATTCCCTTTACATTTGAATTTTCCAATGAGAAGAAATGGGCAACAGTGAAAGTGGCTAAATTTCATTCTTTATTTTATTGTCTAGGTATGGTCTCTTTGTATACCCTAAATTTCAGCCACCATGGGATAATGACACTGGCCCCACCAGGTTCCAAAACTTTACTGTTTGGGGAAGTGCAGGTGGTACCCAGGTAAATGTTTCTTTAGTTATTATTATTAAAACTTTCATTTATTTTCTCATGGTGATTTATTGTGCATCTTGATTTAAAAGGGAATGATTTACTGCTGGGGGAGCATTGCAGCATTATCACAGTGTTGAAGAACCAAAGGCATCATAGTTGTTGAATGAACCAATTCATAATCAGTAAGCAGGTTAGCTGATTTCCTCTGTGGTGAAGTTTCTGCAGCTGTGATAGAGAGCGACAGAATCATAGAATTTTATAACAGGAGGGAATATAGAAGTTATCCATTCGTTCCTTCCCATTCCTATTTAGAGATAAAAAAATTAAGAAAGTAAAAGAACTTGTCCAAAGTCACACAGTTAATTACTAGCACAAAAAAATAAAAATTCACTGCCACTGAGTCAATTCTGACTCATAGCAACTCTCTTCGGGTTTCTGAGGTGGTAAATATTTACGGAAATAGATTGCCCAGTCTTCCTTCACAGAGTGGCTGGTGGATTTGAACTGCCAGCCTTCTGATTAACAGTCAAATGTCTTAGGCGCTCCACCACCAGAGCTTCTGAATCAATAGCACAACCAGGTACAAATTCTAGTCTCCAAATATTGTGCATTTGATACCCTAATATCCTGAATAAATATATGTTTCAGGTATAAGAAAAACTGTTCCTCATCTTTGGAGCACAAAAATTCCAGCCCCAGATGCCATGCCATTCTTACCTTTACAAAGGGTTGAATACTTTTCTTCAAAAAATGAAAAAAAAAAAAAAGGTTCATGTTCAATCATTTTAATTTTCATTGTTATAATGATTTTCTAGCAATGCTCATTGTTAACAGCAACAGGTAGAAATGATCCAGGATCACTCTTTGATTTTGTATAGAGAAAAATTATATATACTTGATTTATGATCCCTAGGAATCTAGAGCCAAAGACACATAGAAGGGGGGATGCATTTACAAAGAATTTGAGAAATGGAATAAAAATGTAAAATTAAGTCACATTAAGAAAGTCAGACATTTATTTCATATATTCACCAAGAAAAAGAAAATTGTTGCCAGGGAAAGCACAAAAATATATAAGTAGAGTTGCTAAAAGGAAAAATCCCAGTTATATTCAGTATTTTATTCTTATTTAATTGGATAAAGTTGTTGTTTCTGTAAGTACTAAGTACTATGAATAGAGGGGTGATGGATATTTGTTGAATGTCCCCTTCTATGGAGAAGCAATTCATGCCTTCATGCCTTATAGGAGTTTAAACTCTGTAGTAGACACTGTCTTCCTGTTCTGGAATAGCCTTGTTCTGGAGGAAATAAACCCAGTGAAACAAAATATTAGAAGATGCTATTGTAGCCAGTTTTCAAGTTCTGCAATCAGAAATGCTAAATCTGTGGAAGGAAAAATAAAGCCTTAACAAATTGAACCTGTGTGTTCTAAATGTAATCACTCAGAAAGCTCATAAAATGAGGATGCTTTTAGAACTTTGCTTTTTTGAGAAAGAATAAAGGGGAAATTAAATAACATGATAACTGCTGTTGTTGGGTACTGTTGATTCTGACTGATAGCGGCCCCATATGGTAGAGTAGAAGTGCCCCACAGGGTTTCCTCCAGGTCTTTTTGCCACGTAGCTCTGGGTGGGTTTTAACTGCCAAAGTTTTGTTGAGCAGTGGAGTGTTTAACCAAGCTCCTATGTGCATAGCCATTGCCAACTCTCAATTGTTCCCAGTTACTTTCTTCATGACCTAGGGAAAATCTCATAAATTTACCTACCTCATTTGTAAAATGGAGGTAGTAACAGTCCCTAAATGATAAGTTTGTTTTGAGAATTAAATAAGTACCTGTATGTACAGTGCCTAGAAGAGTGGCTGAATCTTTGTGAATGCTTAATAAAATCAGCTCTTATTGTTGCCATTGTTAATAAACAGAATTAGGTGCTTAACATAAGGCCTGTGTTGACAATGACGTCTCTGCACATTGTTATATCAAGAAATGTCTTCTGAATCATCAAAAACTACATTGTTTTTATACTTCATCAACTTTTAATCTTAGATATACCTGACTGTGCTCTTATCATTTACATATTAAGTACCAGTTCTTGAACAGAATATGCAACTTGGTAAAATTTAGTTTGTATACACATCAATTTTTACTATTTGACAATACGACAGCTAATGTTTATTGTGCTTTTTCTAATTTAATCATCATAACAACTTTATGGGGGGGCTGTACCATTGTTATCCTTTTTTGTAAATGAGAAAACTCTCTAGGGGGATATTTTTCTTGCTAAGGTTACACAGTTTATAGCTGGATTCCAAGTCTAGCAATTCAGACCTTCTATATGTATGTTGGGAGCTCTGGTGGTATAGTGCCTAAGCCATTTGACTGCTAACCAGAAGGCTGGCAGTTCAAACCTACCAGCCACTCCTCAGAAGGGAAGTTGGACAATCTGCTTCGGTAGTGATACCGCCTAGGGAACCCAAGGAGGGGCCGCTGAGTCAGATCCGACTCCACGGCAATGGTTGAGTTTTTGCGTTGCGTTATATATACGTTAACAAGAGTTGAGAAAAATATCCTTTTCTCACCATGTCTCAGGAATGCAGAGTGATTATTTAGAAGAGGGAGAGAGAGATGAGAATACACTCTGCAAGCTGTATTCATACCACAGATCGGTGCATTTTGTTGTTATATTTTGCTTTCCTTGTAAATTTAGGTGTTTCCCTAGATAATTCTAGGTGTTAACTGGTTTTGAATGTGAGTATATTTCCAGAAGTTGGAGTGATGCCTATAATTAGGTTGTAACTATAGTCAGGTCATCCGTTTAGATCATGAATTGCTTGTTTTAATAAACCTCTGAGTCTTTCAAAGTGGTATCATTTATTTAAAAACAAAACAAACTTCAGGTGAATATATAATAGGGAGTGCAGGGTATTCAATTCTTAAAAATTCAAGCAAGACCAATTGAGAGACAGAAAGACCATACTATGATAAATCAAGGACACATTAGTCTTAACTTAATAAAAAATTTTCTAGTTAAAGATTGGAATGTGAACATGACCCTATTTAATGAATGCAGGGATGATTGTGTTAGGTTATCTGATACCTTGGATCTTCACTCAGATTTCAAAATTGGTTGAACGTAGACCTCAAGCCAGATAACCAAACACACTGCCATCAAGTCAGTTCCAACTCATAACTACCCCCGTTGAGTTTCCATGGCTACTCCCATTGGGTTTCCAAGACTATAAATCTCTATGGAAATAGACTGCCACATCTTTCTTCTGAGGAGCAGCTAGGGAGTTTGAACCACCCACCTTTTGGTTAGTAGTCAAATGGATTAACCACTATACCACCAGGGCTCCTTGAACATAGATAGGCTTAAGTGAGGTTAAATGTCTTGTCCAAGATTACATTGTTAGCTATTGTAAGAGCTATTGAAAACTCAGGTTTCTGCCTATCAGACCAGTGGTGTTTTGTTAATATTAGATCCCTGTTTAGGCACGTTAACCCAAGTACCCACAAATGTAGAGGCACATAACACATGTTGAGACTACAGACATTGAATCTGTCTTCATGCAGAATTATTTATTTCATATTTGCATGTATTAGCATGTATTAGTTAATACATACTACAATGAGGAAAATATTTAGCACTAGAGTTCTTGGGTGCTCTGTTTTTCTCTATTACTTTTGTGTGATTTGGCAACTTTTAAGTTTATTTTAAATATATGGGGAATTCATGTTGACCTTTTTACTAGATCAGTATCATGAAGAGAAATGAAAAGTGCAGAGGAGTTGTTAACCAAAGTTATTGCTGACCTCATGGCAACTTTAGGATATCTGTAAATATATTGATGAACAAAAGCTGTTCAAATATGGTATGTTGTTGTTGTTGTTATGTGTCATTGAGTCAGACCTCACTCATAGTGACCCCTCCTTGAGTTTCTGAGGCAGTATCACTATGGAAGTAGATTGCCCAACTTTCCTTCCGAGGAGTGGCTAGTGGGTTATGTTGTTATGTGCCTTCGAGTCCGACCCGACTCATAGAGACCCCTCCTTGGGTTTCCAAGGCAGTATCACTACGGAAGTAGATTGCCCCATCTTCCTTCCGAGGAGTGGCTGGTGGATTTG